GTATTTGTTTACAGTGGTACCTCAGGTTACATACGCTTCAGGTTACGGACTCCGCTAACCCAGAAATAGTGCTTCAGCTTAAGAACTTTGCTTCAGGATGAGAACAGAAATCGTGCTCTGGCAGTGCGGCAGCAGCAGGAGGCCCCATTAGCTAAAGTGGCGCTTCAGGTTAAGAACAGTTTCAGGTTAAGAACGGACCTCTGGAACGAATTAAGTACTTAACCTGAGGTACCACTGTATTCATTATCCCACCCTTTTCTCCAGGGAGCTGAAGGTGGCGTCCATGGTTTTCTCCTCCTCATGTAATCCTCCCAACAAGCCTGCGAGGTAGGTTAGGCTGAGAGGCAGTGAGTGGCCCAAGGTCACCCAGTGAGCGTCAAGGCTCAGTGCAAATTTGAACCCTGGTCTCCTACTCTGATACTCTAACCCAGGCATTGGCCCTCCAGATGTTTGGCACTGCAATTCCCATCATCCCTAGCTAACAGGACCAGTGGTCAGGGATGATGGGAATTGTAGTCCCAAACATCTGGAGGGCCGGAGTTTGCCTATGCCTGCTCTAACCACTACACCACACTGGCTCTCAGCATCAGGAGGGCATAAGATTCCCCTCACCTGATCTAGAGAGAGAAAGAGAATTGGGTGCTGGGTCCCAAATTGATTTTTGCAGTCTCCCAAGTCTGAGTTTTTATGCCACTGAACAGATTTATGAGCAGCATTGAACCCTGAAGGGGCCACTCCCATCCACCGCTCATTCTTACCTTGTATACTTGGACGGCTTCTTCCGCGGAGACCACTCTGTGGCCCCTGTGCTCTTGGGATCCGGCACAATCTCCGCAGAAGGGGACACGGTCATCCTCGCAGAACAAATCCAAGGGCTGCTGATGCCTCTGGCATTCTGACCTCCTTTTTCGGGCCTCTCTCTCTGCGGAAGCGTCCCAGTCCCTGAGCATCTTAACAAAGTTGGAGATATTTCTGCTCACCTTCAAGTTCCTCGCAACAGTGCTTCTGCACTCAGGGCACCTGGAATCTCTGCCCGGCTCCTCCCAGCATCTCACGATGCACATACGGCAGAAGCAATGCCCACAGTCTAGCACCACCGGGCTGGTATAGTAGCAGAGGCAGATGGGGCAGGTGACCTCTTGCTGAAATGCCTTCCTGCGTTTCTCGTCAGCCATGGCTTCGTTCCTGTCAAGAGAGAGATGTTTCCTCCTTCAGAAAGAGCCGCAGCTTGAAAAGAGGTGCAGGTTTATGGTCACCATGAACTTTAATCTGAAACAGGGCATTGTTAATGGAACACACCTCCTGGCCTAGATAATAAATTAGGGAACATGTTACAATAAATGGCTTTAAGGCACTGTTGTTTTCTTTTGCCAAGCAAGCCGTATATAAATTCTGATAAAATCGTTCTGCCCGGACACTGAGGTCTGGTGCTGAGGGCCTTCTGGCGGTTCCCTCGCTGCGAGAAGCCAAGTTACAGGGAACCAGGCAGAGGGCCTTCTCGGTAGTGGCACCCACCCTGTGGATCGCCCTCCCACCAGATGTCAAAGAGAAAAACAACTACCAGACTTTTAGAAGACATCTGAAGGCAGCCCTGTTTAGGGAAGCTTTTAATGTTTAATAAGTTATTGTATTTTAGTGCTCTTTCGGAAGCCGCCCAGAGTGGCTGGGGAAACCCAGCCAGATGGGCGGGGTATAAATAATAAATTATTATTATTATTATAAAACATTTAGAATCGGTATGAATATCCCATACAAGAGGTACAATCACAGGCTCTAACATGAACAGCAAACCACTGAGATTCCTGCATTGCTGGGGGTTAGACTAGATGTCCCTCGTGGTCCCTTCCAACTCTACAATTCTATGATCGTAAGTAAGAACTACCATAATGTCTGAAAATAACGTTCATAAAAAAACCAGAAGCTTTTCTCTTGGGAATTATAGGGACAGAATCTGTATAGAAACTTACTCAGCAGTAAGAATGTTACTTGCCCCAAAATGGAAAGAAGTCGTCATCCCAGCAAAGAATGGATACAAAAACTTACGGAAAATGCAGAAGTGGTGAAACTTACAAGAAGAATAAGAAATCAAAATCAAGATAAACTTTTCATAAAAGAGTGGAAATGGTTTATTGAATAAATTGTGAATAGATAAGAACGTTGGCAGGATTATTGTAATAACCGGCAGTTTCATAAGAGTATATATTTAAAGAAGATGAATAAATGAGCAAATTAAATGAATTTGGATATGCCGAAGATATTATAAATTTAAGGAACCGCAGAAAGAGAGGGAAGGAAGTCAAGTTTTGAAATGTCAAAATGATTTTAAAATTATTGAAATGTATGAATCTGAAAAGTATAATAGTAATAATAATAACTACCATAATATAATAACTACCATAATGTAATAAAGAACTGCAACGTGCTGGCAAATAGGCCTATACAGTATTGAGCACACTTACAATGCAATCCAACATATGTCTACTCAGAAGCAAGCTTTACTCCGTTCAACGCAGAGTTTGCCAAAAGGATTGCAGCAGCCTTATTTGAATAATGAGTCTCTGCACCGAATAAAGCTGAGAAGCAAACCAGCTTAGATCATTCCATCTGGAGCGCTTCAAATATTTGTAGGTTTGCTTATTAGATTTCTGACTCATCCTTTCCCCAAAAGGAGGGGTCCCCTCCCCAAGTCCACCCAAAGCAGCCAATTGCAAAGTCCCTCACCTGGCGGAGGTGAGCAAGGTGAGGCCGCCTGGATCTAAGCCACCGGAGACGCCACAGCAGTAAAAAAGAGGCGCTGAAAGACCCGAAATCAAAATCTGCGCCAAAAACTCGGGCAGCTTCGACACTCACAGGCGGCCGCCCTGCTAACAAGCGGGACGTTTTATGAATGAAGAAACTGCGGGGCGGGGCAACCGCGTTCCACGCCGTAGCCAATCAGCGGCTCTTGGAACGCTCTTACACGGACACGCCTCCGAATCTTGATCCTGCGGGAGGAGTTCCGCCGATTTCCGGCGTCATTGCAAAATCGTGGTCTGCAGTTTGCAGGCTGTAAGTTAACGAGCGTTCGGTCGCTTCGGAGCAAGTTGGTGGTTTGCTGGTTCTACAGCTGCACCATATCAACCCTTTTGACCTGCAGAGCTGGTGCTCCGACAGGTGCCACACGCTTTTCTGTACTTGTAAGAAATTGATATTTTAGCGTGGCTGCATCCACTCTTTGGAACTGCCTTCATATTGACATTGGACAGGCACCTTCACTGTGCTATTTTTGCCGCCTGCTTAAAACATTTGTGTGTAGACACGCACAAGTTACATGTGTTCTATTTCCTTTTTAAATAATTTTTATTTGATTCTACAAATATAATTTTGTAACGGTCCAAATACATCTCCGTATATGGAGATTACTCTGAATCTCAGGGCTCCCCCCCCCCCCATCCCTTTCATGGGTCCTATCGTTAACATTTAAAACTGCATATTATTCCTTAATCTACATTTTATATCACTCCATATTATCCATACCATTTGTTACATTCCAAGTGAGATTAAAATCCTGCTAACGTTTTCTTTTTCTTTTAAGATTTTTATTGATACAGCAAGAAAAAAGAAAAAAAAACACAAATACCAAATAACACTAGTCTTAACACTAAAGACCCAACCTCCCATCTATTCCATATTTCGATTTCATATTACTTATTGCCAAAACACACTTTTATCATAATTAAACTTTTTCTTAATATATCCAATTTCTTATATCTACCTTGCAACTATTACTGAAGTTCCTCAAATGCTGCAACAGAATTTAAACTACTATATTTTTCAGATATTCTTTGAAAACCTCCCATTTTGAAACAAATTCCTGTTTTGATTTGTTCTTTATTTTTTCTGATAGACCCTCTAATTTGGCATATTCTGTCCCTGCTAACGTTTTCATCTGCTTGCAGTGGTTTCCTATTTCCTTTTGACTATTGCTGATTTAAATGATTTTTTTAAAAGGATCTGTTTTTAAGAGAAACACCTGGATGTTTTATTTTTATAAACCACCGCAATAAAAGAATTTAAAGAGGGTTCTGTTTTGATTGCATGCAGCGATGTCCAAACACATGGGGGGGGGGGGAGATGGCACATATTATGAGCAAGCAGTGCTCCAAGGTGCTTATCTTGTGAACTTGCCATTTAAATTGTTTAATCATGACAAAAGCCCATTTCGAAAAAGGTCAATTTTGGAAAGAATGTATTTCCGAGGTTTGATTACTCATAACACCACTTTTTTTCTTTTTTCTTTTTGGAGTAATACCATTCTCCACTGTCCTCTCTATGTTCTAGTAGGGACACGGGTGGCGCTGTGGTCTAAACCATTGAGCCTGTTGGGCTTGCCAATCAGAAGGTCAGCGGTTTGAATCCCCGCGATGGAATGAGCTCCTGTTGCTCTGTCCCAGCTCTTGCCAACCTAGCAGTTCGAAAGCACACCAGTGCAAGTAGATAAATAGGTACCACTGTGGCAGGAAGGTAAACAGTGTTTCCATGTGCTCTGGTTTCTGTCACGGGACGGTGTCCCGTTGCACCAGAAGCAGTTTAGTCCTGCTGGCCCCATGACCCGGAAAGCTGTCTGTGGACAAACACTGGCTCCCTCACCCTGAAAGAGAGATGAGGGCTGCAACCCTCGCCTTTGACTGGGTAGAATAGTCGCCTTTGACTGGGTAAGAACTTCAGTACATAATAGAAATAATAAAAAATGGCATTGCCCCCCCCAAATGGTGCCCAGACATTCCATTGTGGCGACTGTAACACAGGTTTAATGTGTCATTTGGCAATTAACTTACGTATCTAAACTTTCTAACACTGATTGCTTCCGTTTTGTGAAATTGACAATTTGTAGTCCCTGCAGTGGTATCCTAGATTGCCAAATGTACCCCTGCGTCCAGAAGTGTAGGGGGATGCCTGACTTAGCCTCAGGCACCAGACCAAAGGAAAATACAACACATTCTAGAGTTTGTTGTCATCTATTTAATGGTGTCGATACATAGACACACACATGGATCCTTTGATTTTAAAAATTAAGAAATACACTGGAAGTTACTTTTCTACACATTTCTCCTCTTCTTTTTCCGAAGGGGTGCGTCCCCAGAGGCAGCTCAAGGCAGCTTTTTGGCCCCACGCGAAAGATGGGCAGGAAGGAAAGCAGCTTTTGTGCAGGAGAAGAGGTATTGGCGTCACGCAGAGAGGAATTAGCCAGGAGGATAGACATCGTGAGCTTAGGTCAGGCATGCCCAAAGTCCATTTGGGGGGCCTAATTGCCCCTGTGAGTTTATCTCCTGATGTAAAATCCTAAAACAACAACAACAACGTCAATCCTAAAAAGCAGCTCAACAACTCCAACCCTAAAAAACCTCAACATCTTTGGTTTGCCCTCTGGTTGGCTTCCACAGCTCTTCACTTCATCAAATCTGACCCTCTTTGAAAAAGCTTTGTACACCACTGGCTTAGATCCACTCCAGGGATCATTGAGGAAGGGGGTTCCTTTCCTGACTGGACTGTGGACCTCACCGCGGCTTCACTGCTAGCGTGGCCCAACTTTGGCCCTCTGTCCTATTTTAAAAGCTCTGTGAAGCCACCATTCTCTCTCCCAATAGCCAACTGGCCAAGGACGAAGGAGGAGAGCAATAACTATGATTGATTGATCGAGACTCCTCAGCTTACCTTTCCGCACAGAGAGTCCTGATCTTATAGTGCCTGTGAAAGGGAAAGCAAGAGAGATAAAGCATCACACTGTCGTGGTGTTAATGGATGTTATAGCACACAAAAAGAGTCGGTTGATATCATTGTTTAGTCATAATCCCTTTTCTTGTAAACTGAAGCCATTGGTTTGAGTCCTACCCTCCAGAGCAATCTTGCTCCATCTTACATGCCCTTTAGATATTTGAAGATGGCTATCATATCGTGCTCTCAGTCTGCTCTTTTCCTTCTCGGTAGTGGTGCCCTCCCATCAGATGTCAAAGAGAACAACAACTACCAGACTTTTAGAAGACATCTGAAGGCAGCCCTATTTAGGGAAGCTTTTAATGTTTGATGTATTACGATATATTAATATTTTGTTGGAAGCCACCCAGAGTGGCGGGGGAGACCCAGCCAGATGGGCGGGGTATAAATAATAAATTATTATTATTATTCCAGGCTAAACATACCCAACTCCCTTAACCATTCCTCGGTTTCCAGAACCTTGTTTGTCTTTTCACTTGTTTCCAAATAATCACATTTGACTTCTGCTTATGAGATCTTCTGTCTCTCTCAGCATACACAAGGATAACTACTATCTGCTTTTGAAAATCTGCCTCTTAAGGTTATTGCCTTAAAGTGTTGGAGCCTAAGGCCTGGCTAAACTTGAGTTGTGACAGAGTGTCATTGAAACTACCACACTGATTATTAAATTCACCACAATATTCTTGCAAAAAAACCACCTGATTTCAGTGGGCCTTAAGTCATACAAAGCTTTAGCCACAGAAGTGTGTGAGTTTTTTCTAGTGTCCTCCATGTGAGATACTGTGGCTGAAGGAATAAACATGTTTTCAGAGAAGGGAAAGTTGTGGCCTTCACAATGTTGTTGGTCTCCTAGCATTACAGAGGACACCATGAGTTTTTCCTCAACCCCATTTGCACCAGTTCAATATCTAGCATGAAATTCTTGTAGCTATTACCTTTGAACTGCCGAAAGGAACTTGCCAGAAATGTATTGATATGACCGAAGTTCCAGAATTTGCACATCAATCCATAAGGGATATTGTTGGTACCCCCAAATGTCGATCTCTCCTCATGCCTGTAGAGAAATAAAAGGTTTAAAAATACCAACTTGCCCTCCAACCTAGAATTCCCAAAGGAAGCAAAAAGAGGAGAGGGGAGAGGATTCAAGGTGATTCAAGGTGAAAGATAAGATTCAAGGTGAAAAATAAGAGAAAAGGAATATTGAAATAAGCAGTGCAGGGAATAGAAGTGTGAACAATGGTTTGTTGGAAGAAAAACAAAACCTAAAATTAATACAAGCAGGGAACCCCACATTAAGATGAATAGCAAAGAAGCCCAAGACTATGGACAGAGGATGGAGACGTAAAACATTACTCCAGTGGGGAATAAACTGTTTAGATTTTAGACAGCAACTTGAAATGCTGCTATAGATACATCCCTGTTTCGGAAAAGGAAAGAGAATCAGAATTACAGCAGGAGGAATCGAAGGAGGGGAGGGGAGTTTGGAAGTGAAAATAGGAACTTTAGAAAAAGTGGGCCCCTAATGATTTGTTAAATGTTGGAGGTCACAAAGACCCACACTGTCCCCTTGGGAACAACGGGTGTTTTTCCTGCAGTCCACATCCTTCACCAAACCGCAAAGCGCAAAGGATAAGAAGAGGGATCTGCTTACCTCTGCGAAGTGCTTCCGTGATCCTGCAGGGGAAAGAGAAAAATATGAGAACACTTAACATCCACGACTGGCCATACTTCGAACCCCACGCCCCATGCCCCAGTGCAACCAGGGTAATGTCATAAAATCAGAACACAGCCTCTTAAATGAAGCCCTGAGCAGGTACAACAGAGGACCAGTAAGGGATCAGACCAAGGGATCCACCCAGCCCAGACCCCTCTTGGCAAGAGCAGCTTCTGGGAAGCTCACAAACAGGCCAGGAAGGCAACATCACTAATTTGGGAGCCAGCAGCAGACCCATCATCAGGCAAGAGCAGAAAACATCTGATTCCATCATCGTTAAGTAACAGAAATCTCTAGTCTGCATTAAGGTGAGCATTCTCTGCTTCTTCTCTTAGATGCTCCTGCACCTAACATAAGAGAACCAGCTACCAGCTCCACAAAACCAAGCAACGTCACTTTTTGTACAATGACAAAGGCAGAGACTGGTCTGGTAGTGACCTTGACCTGGAGAAAAGCTTGGGCTGCTTATGCCACTCTCCTACCTGCATGAGTTTCCTCACAATCTCATTCTCCACCTCTTCCAGCTGCTTCAGCAGTTGGTATTCCTGTTCATCCAGAAACGAATGTAGCTGCCTAAACTCACCCTTCATCTTCTGCCTATCAGACATTAGTTGCTCCTGCAAGAAATAGATGGAAAGAAAAGCAGGCTGTTAGCAACATTGCCACTCCTTCTGCAGAATGAAGAGGGTTTGAGGATTACTGCAGGGGAACAGGGCGGATGCTTCTGAATTTTTGTATTTTCACAGATGATGCATCAGTTTTCAAGCAAAGGAAAATTTTCCTTCCCATCAGAACAGGCATCCCCAAATAAATAGACATCTAAAAGAGTCGAGCTGCCTGATGGCTTCATTATGTAATTTTTTATCCACCCACCAAACATTTGTTCTTTTGATTATTTGCTTACTTCCCAGTAAGAGCGACACTTACAAGCAGGCGGTGACTGTTCTTTTCTGTTCTGTTATCTGCCAGGTTTTCTGCCTCCTCCTCCTCCTTCAGAGTCTCCTGGCACCTGCAGGGCTGATCCTGAAAAGAAAAGCCAAAGTTCCCATTTGGGTCCTGGTGAGAGGTTTCTAGGAGATAACCATCATAATCATCATCGAGACACAGAGAGAAAGAGGAAAGCGAGAGAACAGTTGAATTATGTTATTGTTCCCCGGGTTCTGAGACTGCAGAGCCTGCTTCTGCCATCCAGAGTATTGAGCCTACGACAGATGCAACTGATGAGTGTTGTGGAGAAATGTTGAGAAAAGACCCAGAAAGCCCCTTCTCCAGAAAATGTCATTCTCTTTCTATCACAGGTTGAATTTCCTTCTTTTTAAATTATCATTCAAACAAATTGCCCACTAAGGCAAATAAAAGCTACTATACTACAGTGTGGATATTGTGGCTGAGAAAGTGTTTCTAACATGTGATATAATAACATGCAGAAAGCAGAATAGTTCATGTCAACTCTGCAGTCAAGGATTGCTCTGAAGTTTCTTAGTCCCTGAGGATTTTGTTTTTTATGCAGTTGTAGAGATTAGTTGATTGTAGCAGCAGCATGGCTGGGAGAGGTTGGTTAAAGCTCTTGGAATATATGGCTTGCTTCGTAAAAAACTGACCATATATTTGTCCAAGCACGTGGATCTGAACTTTGCTTGTAAATCTGAAATCTGCTCCTCCTGTGAAACAGCACACCAGGTCCTGCACTAATAGCCTAAGATCAAGCACCAGTGATAGACTTATATTAATACAACTGGTTTAAAACTCATGAATCTTGAGTTCTTTGCATGGTTTAGGGCTGGCAACAGGAGAAAGCAGCGTTGTTGTATGTCTCTAATGTTTTTCTTGTTGTTGTGGAATGGCTGCACCTGTATATATAAATAGATTTGCTAACATGGAAATACAACCAAAGGGGGAAATCTTCACCTCTTGATCTGACCCATCACAATACTTTTTCCTACCCTCCTTTGACACCCATAATTATTTTTCTGAAAACAGCTTTCATGGGATCGTCTTTGTGAGCCTAAAATGTTTATCTTCAACTTTACGCCAGTGTGCCAACTCCTGCACAACTCCCACTTTATAACAGCAAGAAACTCTGAGATGCCCAAAACATCATCCTTCTAGGTTTTATTATTTGCTTGCCTTTCTAAAGCAATTGTACATTTCTTTCCATTCCAAATAAATTGTTGTATTAGTTATTTCCAATCTTACAACGCTTGCTCTGCTCTTTGTATTATGAGATTCTGAAACAGGAAAGGCAATTTACAAAGTGCACTCATTTTGGCTGCATTTATTTTCCCTAGAAAGGCCAACTTAACATCGTTCAGTCTTTCTAGAGCAGCTTAATTTTTATTTTTTTTACATAATCATACCTAATATACACATTCAGTGGAGTCTTATAAGGCAAAGCAAGTCTCAGTCCCATAAAAGTCAATATCTGTCTTAGGATGTGTAAAATATAATTAGATGAGAGGCCTTCTGAGCATGTGCAGAGTCAGTTGACAGCAGACTGCATCCCTCACACCTAGGATTAGAGGAATAAAGCCTTACTCAGGAAACAGTGGTTTGCAGACAGGCTTGAAACTTGATAGCTCAGTTTGTTAGAGCATGGTGCATATACTGTCAAGGCTGCAGGTTCGATAACCTCATGGGACAACTGCATCTTCCTGCATTGCAGGGGTTGGACTAGATGATCCTCAGGATCCCTTCCAAGTCTACAATTCTATGATTTTAATTCCCATCATATATACTAGCCGTTCCTATTAATGGTTCATTCTTACCTTGTAGTCTTGGGCGGCTTCTGCAACAGGAACCACCCTGTGGCTGCTGTGCCCTTGGGATGTGTCACACTCCCCACAAAAGAGGTCCAGGGTCTTCTGGTGCCTCTGACATTTTGAGCGCCTCCTTTGGGCATCTCTCTCTGCAACATAATCCCACTCACTGACGATTCCAACCAAATCTGCGAGAAGCCTGTTTTGCCTGAAGTCCTTTTCTACAACCGTTCTGCACTCGGGGCACCTGGTTCTCTCACCAGACTCCTCCCAGCACCTCAAGATGCAGGTTTTGCAGAAGTTGTGCCCGCAGCCCAGTTCTACTGGACGAGTAAAGTAACTGAGGCAGACGCAACAGGTGACTTCACTCTGGATCCTCTTCCTATACTTGTCCACATCCATGACTTCACTCCTGTTTTAACGGACCAGCCGCACCTGTTAGAGAGATGGAGCGGAGTTAGGATCCCTTTGAACTTTAATCGGAAATGGGAAATGTAAGCCCTGCCCCATCCGCATGGACCTTCTCAGCAGTGGGACCCGCCCTGTGCAA